CCCTCGGGCCGGGCGGGGCCCCTGCTGTTGGGACAGACGGACACCCGTTCGCGCCCTGGTGGGAGGGGCCCCTCCCCGACTTTTGTGGGCGCTTGGGCCAGGCTCTTCGGGGGCGTCGGTGGGCACCCGCCAGGCCTTCCGACGGGCAGAATGCCCTTTCCTGCCGGGCTTTCCGCGGAGTAGAAGGCCGGGTCTCGGGGTGGGCCTTCGTCACCCCTGACCTCAGGGCCAAGCGTACGCGTGCCCCGCCCCCCGGGTGGGCTCCTCCATCGGTGCCCGGCAGCACCCCCTCCTTCTCCTCCCGTTTCCACGCCCCCCGTGGGCTCTGATCTGGTTCCTCGCAGAAGCATGTGGGAGTTGGGAAAGAGTGGATACTGGGCTCTCAGGCGGACACCCACGTGGATGTGGGCGGCGAGGACCGACAGTTCTCGTGGCTTAGGCTCATCCCCGTTGCCCCGCGCCCAGATAACGGGATCGTGAGCCCTGGAGGGCCGACTGGAGTGAAAGAACCTGGGAGGAAGTTCTTTCTAAAAGTGAAGGTGTGGGACACCCAAGAGGGAAGATTGTCACTCTTGTCCTGGAAAGTGGGGGCAGAGGCTGGCAGAGAAGTGACCGTCTCTGGGCCTGCTGTTTTTCTCGTAAGAAGCTCGGCCAGGGGCTGTTTCTTCCCCTTCTGTGTCTCGAGGGATGTTGTTCAGTCTTACCTGGTGGCTGCAGCTACCGTTTATCAAGTATTTCAGTTGTTGTGGCTTAGCCTGATTTACAAGTAAGGACTACCGAGTACTTCACCTAGAGCCTATTTCTCTTCTTACTTTGTTTGGTCCATGTGCACGTACAACAAGATCTAGAGAGAATCTCGTAGCCAAGCATGAAAAAAATCTGGTAAAACGCCAGCGAACTAAACCCCAGTTTGTTGGCTGGTGGGTGTATGTGAGGTGTTTTTAATTCATGTCCAAGATGTTTTGGATCAACATCCAAACATTCCTACTCAGCCTAGGAATACTAACACTAACAAACACTATACAATGTAGAATCGTTGGGTTAGGTCCAAGAGATTTAGAGACAGGTTGCTTGTTTTGTTATATTTGAAGTCAGTTTTACACAAAACAGTGTTGTGACCTGGAGATTTTCCCGTGCATATCTGACGAATAAGTAATTTGAAAAGATAAGATTAGCTAATCCCAGAGAATTTATGCCTCGGGGTTCAGGGAGTTAAGGTATGGGCCCAGGTGAACCTTCCTGCTTTTATTAACTTGGCCGTATCTACCCACTTGGCGTATACGCTGCCAGGCACATTGAGAGCATCTGGCTTCTGGAGTGTGTTAAATGTTTATATCATGCTTTGTGTCTCAACTGGAGTCGGTGTTCTTGAGATTCATGGCACATCTGAGACTGATCCTGTTCTTTTTTTTTGGCAGTGTATTTCTCAGGGCAAATAAGGAGAAAGTGGTTATTTTTGTTTTTCAGTGTTTTGTTAACCAAAGGGAGACTATTGGAGTTACGTTGGCTCTAAAATCTTTGTCTCTGACTGATCAAAGTTCTGTGACAGGAAAACATTCTTTTTTTTATTCTTTTGATGTTTGAGTTTATTGTGGGCTTTATTTCTACAACTCTTTCAGCTTTTGAACAAATTAAATTGTTGTACAGCTTTGAGATGGGAAATGATTCATTTTGTTTCATTAGTTTATTACCTATAAAGGAGCACAAGTTAGTCTTGTGGGGAATTTTTTTAAGTATTGGAGAGAAAAATCTGCCTTTTTGTAAATTACTGGTAACAGGAAGACAGCCTGCTTCATGGACCCCATACTGCTTCCCGTTGAATTAGCTCGGTATTGGCTGCCTACAGAAAGAGCAGTGCTGTGTCTGCAGAACTAGCCAGAGCCAAAGCCAGAGCCCTTGGGTTCAAAATGGGTTGTCTACCATGGGAACAGGCATTGAAAAATACATCACACTTTGTGCAGCCATAAAGGACAAAACCATGGTCTTCTCTGCAAACTGGATGGAATCAGAGACAGTCATTCTTAGGGATCCATCACAGAAACAGAACCCAAAACCACATGTTTCTCACTCATAAGTGGGACCCGAACCTTACAATGGCACAAGGAAGGGGTCGGCAGTCATGGGACACTGCCAGGGGAGGGAGGAAGGGGGTCACATAACAACACAAAGGGTAACTGATCCTAAACCAGTGACGTGAGCACCAGTTGGAGGCCCAGACTTCACCTGCACGTAGATTGCTTATATACCTAATCCTGGCTTGTACCTCACCTCTTTAAAATAAAAGAAAGTATAAAAAAAAGAAGAAAAATACATCCCACTTTGGACGTGGCTTCATATGGTCCATATGAAAACACTCTGAGATGCTGTGGTTTGCACAGCAGTGGGAGTGCTTATCAGTGGGTGAGGGGTGAACCCAGGCCATGTGACTCCACAAAGCCTCTTGCTAGCTTAGAACAGCCTGGGTCAAATTTTCTTTAAAAATAAACCAGCAGGCCGGGCTCGGTGGCTCAGCCTGAAATCCTGCGCCTTTGGGAGGCTGAGGTGAGTGGATTGCCTGAGCCCACGGGTTCGAGACCTGCCTGGGCAACTTGGCGAGACCTCATCTCTACAATAAATAAAAAAATGAGCCGGGCGTGGTAGCGTGCGCTTGTAGTTCCAGCTACTTGGAAGGCTGAGGCAGAAGGATCGCCGGAGCCCGGCAGGTAGAGGCTGCGGTGGCCGGAAGCGGCACTGCACGCCGTCTAGGCAACAGAGAGACTCCAACTCAAAAAAATAAAAAACCAGCCAGTTTTGCTTGCCATCTGCCTTTGTTTGAGAAGAGATTGGGACACTCAGAAAATTTGCTTAAAATAGAAGTGGGCAGGCTGGGCTCGGTGGCTCAGCCTGTAATCCCACGCCTTTGGGAGGCTGAGGTGAGTGAATTGCCTGAGTTCGCGGGTTCGAGACCCGCCCGGGCAACTTGGCGAGACCTCATCTTTACAATAAATAAAAAAATGAGCCAGGCGTGGTAGCACGCGCCTGTAGTTCCAGCTACTTGGAAGGCTGAGGCGGAAGGATCGTCGGAGCCCAGCTGGTCGAGGCTGCGGTGGCCGGGAGCGGCCACTGCACTCCAGTCTGGGCAACAGTGAGACTCCAACTCAAAAAAAAAAAAAAAAGAATTCAGGCAGCCAGTTTGAGGAAGAAGGCAAGCTGTGTTCCTTGTCAGCAGTTGTCCTCTTAGCTGAGGTTGTGGGCGCTCATGATGGCTGGTGTTAAATGCAGGTGCGGATTTTAGCCCATGATGCAGTTTGCTGGTCTGGAGACTTCCTGGCACATCACCTAGAAGGAACCCCAGTACCTTGGGAAGCAGGCGAGTCAGTAAAATGCTTTCACCCCTTTTATTTTTTTTTGAGTTGGAGTCCCACTCGGTTGCCCAGACTGGAGTGCAGTGGCCGCTCCCGGCCACCGCAGCCTCACCTGCTGGGCTCTGGTGATCCTTCCGCCTCAACCTTCCGAGTAGCCGGAATTACAGGCATGTGCTACCACGCCCGGCTGATTTTTTGATTTATTGTAGTGATGAGGTCTCGCTGCCCAGACAGGTCTCGAACCCGCGGGCTCAGGCAACCCACTCACCTCAGCCTCCCAAAGGCGCGGGATTATAGGCTGAGCTACCGAGCCCGGCTCACCCCGTTTTAAAGGGAAGGAACAGTGGTTCTAAAAGATGATAAAACATCTTCAAAAGTCACTTGACCACTAGGAGATTGGGCCAGAGAAGTAATTGGAAGTATTCTTCTATTTATTATTTTTTTTGAGTCGGGGTCTCACTGTTGACCAGGCTGGAGTGCAGTGGCACAATCGTGGCTCGTGCATCCTCCATCTCCTGGGCTCGGGTGATCCTTCCACCTCAGCCTCTTGAGTAGCTGGGACTGTAGGTGTGTGACACCATGTCTGGCTAATTTTTTGTATGTTTTGTTTTGTAGAGATGAGGTCTTGCTATATTGCCTAGGCTGGTCTTGAACTCCTGGGCTCAAGCGATCCACCTGCCTTGGCCTCCTAAAGTGCTAGAATTACAGGTGTGAGCCACCGTGCCTGACCAGAACCATCTTCTGATTCCTGTTCCTCTCTTCTTTAACGCCCCAGTTGCTT